TGGTATTTCTGTAGTTTAAGAAGGAAAATAAAGGAAGGTATAAGTTTTTATATAACTACTTTAGGTTACCACAGCTATTCAGGTTATACTTAGCAACAGAAAAAAAAAAAAAAAAAAGGGAGAGGCTTCACTAGTCAATTAGACAGAAATTTGCTGAGAACAAAGAAGACAGGCAGGCATCAGATTCTTTCTTTGAGAAGAAATTTGTATGTTTAAAGATGGTGTCAATCAGATGTCAATCAAATAAGATCCTGACCAATCCCAGTCTATTTCTCCTTTGGTTTTACACAAGCGCTTCTATACAGACCAATCCTTAGACTCAAGAACACAAGCAAACTGGAAAACATGATGAAACAGTTTAAAATGATAGCATCTTGCCTTAAAAGAGAAGATCAGAAATAAAATGATCAATTTCAACATTCTATTAGTTCCCAAACTTCATTTAATAACACAAAGATGTGTGACGCTTAAAAGTAGAACACACACACACACACACACACACACACACACACACATACACTGAACATTACAGTAATACTACGGATAAGGAAATACTATGTCCATCTTAGAGCTGAGGAAATTGAGCCTCAGAAGTATTAAAAGTCTATAGCCATATTTGTATAGCAATGCATTACTAGGTGTATATAGATATAATGATTAAAATTTGTTTGCCTATTAGGTATATAGTCTTAAAAATTTTTGCTAATCACTTACTACGTATCAGGAACTGCGCCAAACACAGAGAATACAAAGCTGAGTAAGACACGATTTCTTCTGTCAAGGAGTTCATAGTCTGGTGAGGAGACAGTCCTGTAAACATAAATCATTTTCGATGTGATAGTTACTAAAACAGATGTAAAATGTGAAGAACAACAGCTGCAGCACACAAGAGAAGCATGAAATCCACCCTGCAAGGACAGAAAAGGCTTCAGAAAGAAGACAGCCTATAAGTGAACTTTAAGACTTTGGATCACCTGGAGTTGGAGGAAACTGTAAGATGTGGGTGCTGAGAACTAAACTCAGGGTCCTCAACATGAGTAGCAAGTACTCTTAACTGCTGAGCCATCTCTCCAGTTTTTGAATTGTAGTTCTTCGAGATGGAATTACAGAGAAAATGTGAAGGATATCTATAAAACTAGTGGTACGGCTAGACAATGGAATAAGAGGGAAAAGTGGCTAACAGGCAAATAAAACCCTTAACATGGTACCCCAACTGCACTGTGCATAGGACTGTAAGTTTATCCTGATAAACACTGAAAACTGCATTTTAGAAAGGTTAACATTGGCAGCTATGAGGTTAGAGAAAGTGAGCTTAACTGAAGAAGAACATTGGTAGTGTGAAGAAGGTAACTGGGGGTATAGGTAAGGTCTTTCACTGGATGATCATGGCATACCTGAGGGTTATTCATAAAAAAGAATGAGAAACTCAAATTACCCACTTAGTATTGGGTGGAGCTTGGTGCCATAAGCAGGCAAGGAAAGAGAAGAAAATCTGGAGAGACTAAATGGCACAAAGATTTCAAGAGTCAACTCTGAAGTTGGACTATGTGAACTTTATTCCCAGCTCTGTCACTCAGAAGCTGAGTAATAAATTATCTTTTCCATGGCTCACTTTCTATATCAACAGAGCAGGAAGAGGAAAGCCATCCACCTCATGCTGTAAAAATTAAATAGAGATGAAGCATGTAAAATCCTCAGCACTTTAACTGTATGGCACAAAGTCACTTAATAAAAGCTAGTTACAATTCTTTTGAGAACAGGTTAGAAATCTTTCATTTGAGAGCTTGAAGTTCAAAGAAAACCTGTTAATGTCCAGATATCAGACAGGCTTAGGAGATAAATTAATGGAGGAGAACTATTTGGAGTTGCATTAAACCCATGAAAGGTAATAGGCTTGCCCATGGGGGAGCTATCCTAGAACAATCACTGGGTAGAATGAGAAGTGTGCTGACTAACTACTGCTAAGCAGTATTAATATGATATCTGTCATAAATCCACAGAAACAACAATCCGCATGCTGGTACCACTATTTTCCAGTTGTTCTTGGGACCGTATAGGACAGAGAAAGATTGTAGGATCAACTCAGGTTCAGGAACTCAGGAAGTAGGTGTGGAAAGAGAAAAGGCAAAGTCTGAATTTCATCAAACTTTTCTTTTCTGCAAGATGGCAATTCAGCCAAATAAGATAAGGTTATAATCTATGCTTAGAGGAGATACATTTAAGCTGATTTTGCCTAGATCAACCCTTTGAAGATACTATTTCATTCAACTACAGAGAATATAAGAGAGTCTCAAATTTAGGCAACAAACTATATTTCCAGTATTCTGAAATTATAGAACTACCAAATCCTCACTTAGAAAATATGGGGTGTTTTGTTTGTTTGTTTCCTTGCTGTTTTTGAGACAGAGTCTCACTATGTAGCCCAAACTGGCCTGGGCTCCTGAGGGCACAGATTACAGCATGCACTACCATCCCCAGCTCTTGAAGATGTCTCTAATTGTCTGCTTACCTCAAGATGTCATTCTAAAGTCAAAGCAATTAAAAGGGGAGAAAACAGTAAATAACAACAAAATCTGATTAAAACAGACTTGATTCATTCTGTACACTCAGCATAGGGTTAAACTTTGTTACAAAGCCTCAATCTAGGCAGTTACTGTATCAACAGCACAAATTTAAAACTCAGTGAAAGTAGCAAAGACAAAGGTGGATGACAACCTCCCTCCTAATATACACAATTTAGTAACTCTAAAGTAAAAATATATATTTTATAAAAATATAAACTACAGAATGTTGGGTTTAATCTTGACTAATACAAGGATGTTATTTCTATATAGAAAGATAATTTATTTTAAATGTGACAAAAACAGGAGGGTAGCCACCTCACCCCATTTTCCCAGGACCTTTCCACATTTTGAGTCTTCCAGGCTTGGAAGTCCCTTAGTCCCTGGGAACTGGGGCATTCCAGTTTTAATAAGCAATACAAATGTTCCCCCTGTGCTGAGACAGCTTTTTTACACATCTCAAATGTTTCTAATAAAATCTATCACAATGCACAGTTTCCTCTTTCTCTATGACTTAGAACTTCAGAAAGGAAAGCACTTGCTTTCACAGAAGCAGAACTCGGCAGGGCTCAAGAGCACTACACTGGAACTACATATGAGAGACCAGTAGAATGAATCCCAGTGTCTCTCTTAGCTCTCAGAAATAATTTAACAGACTCTATATCATCACTGATTTGATTCCTCAAGATCCTGAAGACAAAGGCATTTCCAGATTCCTGCATGTTTCCAAACACTGTATCACTGTTCTTCCTACCATAGGCCTTCACCCACTACACTTCAGCCTCTCTTCACTGTTCAGTCGCCACGTAACTCAGTACCTCACATCTTGCCGATCTCCAGTGTGTTAGTCAGTACAGATGACCCTCACATGAAGCTCACGGCCCTCTTCTGCACACAATTCCCTAACAGCTGTTTCTATCACTGTACTCTCCCCTTAGAATCTACTCACGTCCTACCTCAGGGGTGCCAGCCCCACTAGGTCTTTGCCTGAGGTCATTAGCAGCAGCACTATCAGGCCTTTACTTGCATAAACTAGGCTAGGACTACCTCTGAGCTACATCCCCAACTGTCTTTTAGATGACTTTTTCAGATGAACCACCCTAATTCTCTTCTTTCTTTCCCTCAAAATCATCATCATCAGAATAGACAAGTGAAGTGGGCCCACCATGTGGCCCCAAAGGAAGTGGAATGAGTTGGAAGGGTCATTTGAGCCTAGGAGTTCAACAGCAGTCTGGCCAACATGAGATACCACATCAAGGGGAAGAAAAAAATTATCATCAAAATGAAAATCAGTATACAAATTAATGGAAAAAAATAATCCTATGAGTCGCCAGTTTAGAAAGCACTATTTTTATTTATTTGTCTGCTTGTTTGTTTGTTTGTTTTGTCTTTTTGAGACAGGATCTCCCTGTAGTCCCAGCTGGCCTAGACTTTGCTATGTAGACCAGGCTGGCCTTGAACTCACAAAGATCCACCTGCCTCTGCCTCCCAAGTGCTGGGACTAAAGATGTGCCACCATGCTGGGCTACAAAGCACTATTTTACATCAAAATGAACCCAAAAGTCTGACTAAGTAGTTACAACTAGATATTTCAATTTCTCTGGGCCTTGGTTTTCTTATTAAATAAGAAATGGATCACAAAACAGCTTAGAATTACTTTATTAGAAATACTTAGGTAATAAAAACATGAAATACTAGCAAATCACCCATTATTGTACCTAACTCATAACTGTTTTCATTTTATATCATTATTTTCCTCCAACACACATTTTATTTTTAATTCTACAGTTCATTTACAAAAACTGCCAATTATAAGCTTGGTGGAATCTTTGGCTAAAATCAAGAGAAATATTTAACTTATGCCCATAGCTATGAAACTTTGAAAACAATATTCCAGAATGCCACAAGATGGTGATATTGCTCCGAAAAAGAACAGTTTTTAAAAGTTACATTTTTTTTTTTTTACCAATTTCCCTAAAATAAAATAACTTAAGTCCTTTCCAAGAAAGGATATAAAAAGTGATGATGCTTTGTTTACTAGGAAACCCTAGTCAGAAAGGAAAATGGACTCATCAAATTTAGCAGCAACCTTACCAACTTTTAACCTGAAGCCCTATGGTTCATAAAAACAAAACATGAACACAGACTTTGTCAGCATTGCTGCGTCTGTTACCACACTGATAATCCCTTCTCTCCCTCCTCATCATTAAAAAAAAATTCTATTCAGTTTTTTTTTATTATTATTAAGCACGCAAATCATTTTTCTACGCTTAATTTAAGAAGTGAGTCCTATTTTTCCTTCTTTCTTTTGGGTTTTGTTTGGGAGTTTTATTTTTTATTTTATTGATTTATTTTTTGAGACAAGGTCACAAGCCCAACTTGCCTCAAAACTCACAGCAATCCTCCTGCTTCAGCCTCCAGAATGCTGAGACTGAAGGTGTGAGCCACCATGTCCAGCTCAGATTCCTAGATCTGTCTTAAAAAAAAAAAAAAAAAAAAACCTGACACCAAATTTTTAGTTATATCAACAAAGGATTACACTTGGATGGTATCAGTACTGAAAAATTAGTAGCTTCTTTTTTTCCTAATCTGCTATTTTTCAATTTCTTATAACACGTAATATTATGTTTAGAATGGGAGAATACTAAAGCTTTAAAGTAAAAAAATATGCATTTGCAGAGCTGGAGAGGTGGCTCAGCAGCTAAAAGTACAGGGCTGCTCTTGCAGAGGACCCAGGTTCCATTCCCAGCACCCACATGGTAGCTAACAATTGTCCTTAACTCCAGTTCCAGGGGTATTCAATGCCCTCTTCTGACCTCTGTGGGCACTGCATGACACAGGTATACTTAGATACATGCAGGTAATACATTCATACACATAAAATAAACAATAAAATATTTTTTAAATAACAAAATAAAGATTATGCAGTTGGTAATTTTTCCTTTGCCTTATTGAATATTGTAGAAAAAAGATTTCCCACCCAAGTGCTGCATAGTATCACTTTAAAAAATACTACTCAAATACCACTAACACATCAAAACTTTGAGCTCCAAATTTTGAGAATGAACTCAATGAGTAGAAAAAGCTGTACAAATATGGTTACCCCTGGGTATCTATGGATGCTGTGTCTCCTATACAAAAGGGCATAATATTGCCTAAAGCTGTACACATCCTCCCATATATGCTAAGTTAACTGTAGTTTACTTACAAAACACAAAGCAAATTCTTTGTAAATTCTTTCTAACACTG